CTGCCCAGGTGAGTTCCCAGGTGTGTGTTTTCCCCCCCCAGGTGCGTCTCTCACCCCCCCCAGGTGCGTCTCTCGCCCCCCCCAGGTGCGCCTCACCTGCACAGGTGGGTCGGCGTGCTGGATGTTGTCCTGCAGGTGCGACATGAGCATGAGGTCGCGGGCGCGGTACCAGCGGCTGTGCAGGGCGTGGTGGTAGATGTGGCACAGGATGGCGCAGGTGCGGATCCGGTCCGTGCGGTCCTTGGCGTACACGAACCTGCCCAGGGGCCGCAGGTGAGGCAGGTGAGAGCCTCGGGGGGCAGGTGAGACCACCCTGGGACAGGTGAGAGCCCCAGGGGACAGGTGAGACCACCCCAGAAAAATTAGAACCCCCTGGGACAGGTGAGAGCCTCAGGGGACAGGTGAGAGCGCCCCGGGACAGGTGAGACAGGTGAGAACCTCAGAGGACAGGTGAGAGCCTCAGGGGACAGGTGAGAGCACCCTGGGACAGGTGAGACAGGTGAGAGCCTCAGGGGACAGGTGAGACCACCCCAGATAAATTAGAACTCCCTGGGACAGGTGAGACACTCAGGGGACAGGTGAGAGCCTCAGGGGACATCAGAGAGCGCCCTGGGACAGGTGAGACAGGTGAGAGCCTCAGGGGACAGGTGAGAGCATCCTGGGACAGGTGAGAGCCTCAGGGGACAGGTGAGACCACCCCAGATAAATTAGAACCCCCTGGGACAGGTGAGATGCTCAGGGGACAGGTGAGAGCCTCAGGGGACAGCAGAGAGCGCCCTGGGACAGGTGAGACAGGTGAGAGCCTCAGGGGACAGGTGAGACCACCCCAGATAAATTAGAACTCCCTGGGACAGGTGAGATGCTCGGGGGACAGCAGAGAGCGCCGTGGGACAGGTGAGGCAGGTGAGAGCCTCAGGGGACAGGTGAGAGCCCCAGGGGACAGGTGAGAGCCTCAGGGGACAGGTGAGACCACCCCGGACAAGTTAGAACCCCCCAGGAGAGGTGACACACTCAGGGAACACGTGAGACACTCAGGGGACAGGTGAGGCAGGTGAGAGCCTCAGGGGACAGGTGAGAGCACCCTGGGACAGGTGAGAGCCTCAGGGGGCAGGTGAGACCACCCTGAGACAGGTGAGATCACCTTGAGACAGGTGAGACACTCAGGGAACACGTGAGACACTCAGAGGACAGGTGAGAGCACCCTGGGACAGGTGAGGCAGGTGAGAGCCTCAGGGGACAGGTGAGAGCCCCAGGAGACAGATGAGACCACCCTGAGACAGGTGAGACCACCTTGAGACAGGTGAGACACTCAGGGAACACCTGAGACACTCAGGGGACAGGTGAGACCACCCTGGGACAGGTGAGACAGGTGAGAACCTCAGGGGACAGGTGAGACCACCCTGGGACAGGTAAGAGCCTCAGGGGACAGGTGAGAGCACCCTGGGACAGGTGAGACAGGTGAGAGCCTCAGGGGACAGGTGAGACCACCTCAGATAAATTAGAACCCCCTGGGACAGGTGAGAGCACCCTGGGACAGGTGAGACCACCCTGGGACAGGTGAGACAGGTGAGAGCCTCAGGGGACAGGTGAGAGCCCCAGGGGACAGGTGAGAGCCCCAGGGGACAGGTGAGACCACCCCAGATAAATTCGAACCCCCTGGGACAGGTGAGACGCTCGGGGGACAGGTGAGAGCACCCTGGGACAGGTGAGGCAGGTGAGAGCCTCAGGGGACAGGTGAGAGCCTCAGGGGGCAGGTGAGAGCCTCAGGGGACAGGTGAGAGCCTCAGGGGGCAGGTGAGACCACCCCAGATAAATTAGAACCCCCTGGGACAGGTGAGATGCTCGGGGGACAGCAGAGAGCGCCCTGGGACAGGGGAGACAGGTGAGAGCCTCAGGGGACAGGTGAAAGCCTCAGGGGACAGGTGAGACCCTCACAGGACAGGTGAGAGCCTCAGGGGACAGGTGAGACCACCCCAGATAAATCAGAACCCCCTGGGACAGGTGAGATGCTCGGGGGACAGGTGAGAGCACCCTGGGACAGGTGAGACAGGTGAAAACCTCAGGGGACACGTGAGAGCCTCAGGAGACAGGTGAGAGCCTCAGAGGGCAGGTGAGAGCCGCAGGGGACAGGTAAGACCGTCCCGGACAAGTTAGAACCCCCCGGGAGAGGTGACACACTCAGGGGACAGGTGAGACCACCCTGGGACAGGTGAGGCAGGTGAGAACCTCAGGGGACAGGTGAGACCACCTCGGATAAATTAGAACCCCCTGGGACAGGTGAGACACTCGGGGGACAGGTGAGAGCACCCGGGGACAGGTGAGACAGGTGAGAGCCTCAGGGGACAGGTGAGACCACCCCGGACAAGTTAGAACCCCCTGAGACAGGTGACACACTCAGGGGACAGGTGAGAGCACCCTGGGACAGGTGAGATGCTCAGGGGACAGGTGAGACCATCCCGGACAAGTTAGAACCCCCTGGGACAGGTGAGACACTCATGGGACAGGTGAGACACTCTTGGGACAGGTGAGAGCCTCAGGGGACAGGTGAGACCACCCCGGAAAAATTAGAACCCCCTGGGACAGGTGAGATGCTCAGGGGACAGGTGAGACCACCCTGGGACAGGTGAGAGCCTCAGGGGACAGGTGAGACCACCCTGGGACAGGTGAGACACTCAGGGGACAGGTGAGAGCCTCAGAGGACAGGTAAGAGCCTCAGGGGACAGGTGAGACCACCCCAGATAAATCAGAACTCCCTGGAACAGGTGAGATGCTCAGGGGACAGCAGAGAGCGCCCTGGGACAGGTGAGACAGGTGAAAGCCTCAGGGAACAGGTGAGACCACCTTGAGACAGGTGAGACCACCCTGGGACAGGTGAGGCACTCAAGGGACAGGTGAGACCACCCTGGGACAGGTGAGACCACCCTGAGACGGGTGGGGCATTCATGGGACAGGTAAAACAGGTGAGACCCTCACAGGACAGGTGAGACTCTCATGGGACAGGTGAGACCCTCAGGGGACAGGTGAGGACACCCTGGGACAGGTGAGACCCTCATGGGACAGGTGAGACCCTCATGGGACAGGTGAGACACTCAGAGGACAGGTGAGACCACCCTGGGACAGGTGAGACCACCCTGGGACAGGTGAGGACAACCTGGGACAGGTGAGACCGCCCTGGGACAGGTGAGACCACACCCCCATGTCCCCACCCCTCCAGGTGTGCCCCTCCCACCCAGGTGGGCCCCTCCCATCCAGGTGTGCCCCTCCCCACCCAGGTGTGTCCCCCCACCCCCCCAGGTGAGCCCCGCCCCCAGGTGAGCCCCGCCCCCAGGTGAGCCCCGCCCTCACCTGCACAGCCTCTCCATCAGCGCCTCCGAGTCTTCGTCCTCCTCCTCCTCCTCCTCCGGCCCCGCCTTCACCTGCGGCGGCTCCGCCCCCTCGGGCCCCGCCCCGGCGCTCACCTGGGCAGGTGGGGCGTCCTCGGCCCCGCCCTTGGCCGGCGCAGGCCCCTCCCCCTTGCGCCGGGAGCCGTAGTCGAACTTGTAGTAGGTGTGGAGCACCCTGGGACAGGTGAGACAGGTGAGACCCTCCTGGGACAGGTGAGACAGGTGAGACCCTCCTGGGACAGGTGAGACACTCATGGGACAGGTGAGACCCTCCTGGGACAGGTGAGACCTCCCTGGAACAGGTGAGATCTCCCTGGGACAGGTGAGACCTCCCTAGGACAGGTGAGACCACCCTGAAACAGGTGAGACCCTCCTGGAACAGGTGAGACCACCCTGGGACAGGTGAGACCTCCCTAGGACAAGTGAGACCACCTTGGGACAGGTGAGACACTCACGGGACAGGTGAGACCACCCTGGGACAGGAGACCCTCCTGGGACAGGTGAGACCACCCTGGGACAGGTGAGACACTCACAGGACAGGTGAGACCTCCCTAGGACAGGTGAGACCTCCCTAGGACAGGTGAGACCCTCACTGACCAGGTGAGACCTCTCTGGGACAGGTGAGACCTCCCTAGGACAGGTGAGACCACCCTGGGACAGGTGAGACCTCCCTAGGACAGGTGAGACCCTCACTGACCAGGTGAGACCACCCTGAGACAGGTGAGACCCTCACAGGACAGGTGAGACCCCCCTGGGACAGGTGAGACCCCCCTGGGACAGGTGAGACCACCCTGGGACAGGTGAGACCCTCACAAGACAGGTGAGACCCTCAGAGGACAGGTGAGACCTCCCTAGGACAGGTGAGACCCTCAGAGGACAGGTGAGACCACCCTGGGACAGGTGAGACCCTCCTGGGACAGGTGAGACCACCCTGGGACAGGTGAGACCCTCAGGGAACAGGTAAAACCTCCCTAGGACAGGTGAGACCCTCCTGGGACAGGTAAGACCTCCCTAGGACAGGTGAGAGCCTCAGGGGACAGGTAAGACCCTCCTGGAACAGGTGAGACCACCCTGGGACAGGTGAGACCCTCCTGGGACAGGTGACACCCTCCTGGGACAGGTGAGACCTCCCTGGGACAGGTGAGACCCTCCTGGGACAGGTGAGACCCTCACAAGACAGGTGAGACCACCCTGGGTCAGGTGAGACCCTCAGAGGACAGGTGAGACCACCCTGGGACAGGTAAGACCCTCCCGGAACAGGTGAGACCCTCCTGGGACAGGTGAGACCACCCTGGGACAGGTGAGACCCTCCCGGAACAGGTGAGTCCTTCTTGGGACAGGTAAAACACCCAGGGGACAGGTGAGACCACCCTGGGACAAGTGAGACCACCCTGGGACAGGTGAGACCCTCCTGGGACAGGTGAGACCTCCCTGGGACAGGTGAGACCCTCCTGGGACAGGTGAGACCACCCTGGGACAGGTGAGACCTCCCTAGGACAGGTGACACCCTCGGGGGACAGGTGAGACCACCCTGAGACAGGTGAGACCTCCCTGGGACAGGTGGGACAGGTGAGACCCTCCTGGGACAGGTGAGACCACCCTGGGACAGGTGAGACCTCCCTAGGACAGGTGACACCCTCGGGGGACAGGTGAGACCACCCTGAGACAGGTGAGACCTCCCTAGGACAGGTGAGACCACCCTGGGACAGGTGAGA